GTATGCAGATAATTTAGTAAGTAATATCTTATATTTTTTCTTATTTTGTTTGTTTTAATAAAAATAAAAATTACTGAATTACAAGGCTAAAAAATTTCAATTTTTGTTCTTTAAGTATTTTTTAGTTTTTTGAAAATTAAACACACGTTAATTTGCATGCTTTTAATTTAACAAAATATGAACCAAAAAATACAATAAACATTTAGATATCTTCTACATTAGAGTATATATATATATTTTTTGGCAGTAAAAATTTGTGCTTCATCCAATCTTTCCTTTTTATACTGAAACTAATACCAAACCTTTAGTTCTTTTACCTGTTTCATATTTATATTTCAATATTAATTGGCATTGTAATTTGCTAAGTTTTAGACAATACGTTTTCAACTAAATGGTATATACATTCTAAATAGTTTTCTAGAGCTAATCTTGTTTAAATTTAAATGTAGAATATTCTACAACTATAATAATATGTAATTTAAATTTACATTAGTTAAAAGGTGACCATTTCTGCTTTGAAATAGTACAATGTAAAACTGAAATCATTTCTACCGTGTTTTTAAGGAAAAGAAACTTGGTCATACATTCGCTGTTTTCCTCTACATTTTAAAATATTGTGTTGGTAGGTATCAAAAGATCTTTCTTTTATTATTAAATAAGATCTAATCATGACTACATCTCTAAAAAAGCGTCCAACATGTGACTAGATAATGAAGCATTACATATAATTTACGTCTGTGGTACCTAGCATAGAACCTTTAATTTACAACGTTAAAAATCATCGTGTCGTATTGATGATTTTTAATTTAAATCCAAGGTATCACAAAAATTTAAAATCAAGCTAATTACTTCTATTTAACTACTTGTTATTATTTGTGGGAGTAAATTTAGTTTAAATTCAGAAGAATTATCTATATTCTGCGAAATAAAACAATAATGTAACTCAAACACATGCTGTTTATAAAATTTTCAATATAATGCAACATTACTTGTTCTGATAAATACACCGAGTAGGCCGAATGCATACATTGTTTTACAAACGCGGTAATACGTGCAAAAGATAAATACTGAAATTTTTTAAGTGAGCGATAACTCCTCGAGCTTACTTAGCGAATATTTCCAAACACATTTTACAAATATTTTTTGACTATAAAATTACAAACGTCAGTTTTTGGAGAATACAATGCTACATTAAATTAATAAAAACTTACACGCACAAATTTTCATTGAGATTTGTGCTTCATAACATTTATCCATTAGAATATTTTCTTAACGGTGGGTGACAATTATCGATTCATTTTGAGTGATTTATATTGGACCACATATATAGGTTGTTACAGATAATACTGGTACAAATTGCGTGAACATATAATAATTGACGATTGTTTTACCCATATAGTTTTTCTAAGATTTGTGTAGGTGCATCAGCTTGATATTTCGAAATTTGTCTAAGCAACGCAAATTTTTTCAATCTACCTTTAGATGATTCCATGTCGTATAAAGTGCACAAATTCAATAAAAGAGATTCCTGTAGAGCTTGTACAGGACTCTGAGCGATTGCCGCTTCCAAAACACCTATTGCTTCCTTTAAATGGCCTCCATATAAGAGACAAACTGCCATATTATTCAATATCTACAACATATATAACATAAATCTTCAAATGGGAAACAATTTTCTTTTAAGGATCTTGATCAGAACTTTGTTAAAATAACTCACCATAACGTTATTCGGTTCTAACAAGCTTGCTTTTTGAAAAAATGTGTAGGCTTCGTTAAACGAATTTTGAGCAACAGCTACAAGGCCGCGATCTACCAAATCACGTATTGTTTCTTCACCCCCTTTTAATTCACGTGCTTCATTAAAACAGGCCTCTGCCCCATTAATATCGCCAACTTGAAGATGTAAACGACCGAGAGCCGAGAGTAAAGCGCTTCGGGGTGCTCCTTCCCTAAATTTAACGTTTAATATAAATAATCTAAAGGGAAGACTTCCACAACATAATTTCAAATCTTATAATTTGTACAGATCTGATTCATCATAAATATTTGCAGTACCTTTGCGCTAATTGTCCTAAAATGTCCATTGCCAAGATATAATCTTTTAAAAGCAACGAACAATTGACTATAGAATGTAATATTCGAGTTTCACGGCCAGTCCAAAGTCTTATTGAATCATTTCTATCAGAAGATTTTATTTCAGTTGGACTGCCATCTTCACAAAGGCCATTTTTCAGATTTAAAAGCATCTAAAAAAGGTTAACCGTTTTAAATTCTACAAATTAAGAGATAAAACTATAGATGAAAACTTTATAATCACTAATACATACTTTTCGGACGGTAGAGAGAATATTGAATAATTTTGTTAATGATTCTTTAGGCTTTCCGCAGTGCATAGGGAGCTCTGCCAATAGTAAACGAAAAGAAAATGAAGCTATCGAACCACGTCGCCCCTTGTACATTTCTGGGTAGAACTAAAAAAGATGCAATTAATTTTTATAAATTAAATGTTCAAAATGAATATATTAACTATTACTCACTTCATAAAATAAATCAGGTTTATCAAGTTGATCAAATGGTTCAGCTTCTGCTTGAGCAAGTGTTGTTGACTTTGTTTTAACCAATAGAGAAATACGAGTAAACCATAATTGCAGTGAATGTGGTGAATGCTTAGTGGGATGACCTGTTCTACCTCTCCCTTGACCATAAATTGTTAAAAGCCTGGCAGTTAAATTTAGAGCAGCTCTGTAAAAATAAATGAATTAGACTTGACCTTTTATGATAATTCCTTTTTTACAAATTGAAATATACATTTTCTATTTATAAGCATCAACAATCTAACAATTAAATTTAAACATTAAATGTTAGTTATATTACCTATAAGCCCCAGCTTGCACCAATTCTCGAAGTCCTCTTTCATCTTGAGTAACATCAGCTGCCGTTAATGCTTTCCTCTGACAAGCTTCTGCTTCCCCAAGGCATACTGTTACAGCTTCTTCAATATTGTCTGTCTGTTGATATTATTACATTGGAATAAAGAATAAACACCTTAAAAATTATGAAACTTACAAATTCTTCTTCTACCAAAACTCCAGGCATTGTTAGAAGTTCTCTGTCAGGAAAATATGTTCCCAATGGTGATGTGGCACATGTTATTAAGCACTGCCGAGTTCGTTCACTTGGAATCCACGCATCCCTGCGACGATCAGCTTCAGAGTCAACAGATATTCGTGGAGTGAATCCATCCTTAAAATAATTTAACTTAAATATATGTATACACTTATACCATATTACACAATTATTACTTCTGATGAAATTCCCAGATTTGAACTTATTCCACTATCAGTACTTGAACCATTTCCTATCAAATCAAAAAAAGCTGCAGTAGGATCTTTTGGCTCATTAGATGTTTCAGAAAATATTCGACAAACAACTGGCTCAATTTTTGAGTTATCCTTTATATGAAAACTATTAAGTTTCTCGGTAGTTTCTTCTACATTTGAAAAGTCCTGGTTTCCTGTTTTATTTGTAGTTTCAGGCGTTCCAAAATATTTGCTCAAACTAGGTACTGATTGTTGTGACATTCTTCATAATATGTTATTTTAACCAGAAATTGTTATCACGTATTACAAATAATTTTAAATATTTAAAACGAATTTAATTCACAATTAGCTCTTTTCCAGCACAATTTTTATATTTTACCCACAATGTAATAACTTGTTTATTTACTTACTACACCGCCACTTCTCATTTCCTCTTTATAACGCGCAATAATTAAAAATCAATAAACCTATTAGTTTATTTTTACATTCACACAACATTAACTTCAATATCACACAAATTTTTCTCTATAATGGGGATCAAACAATTAATATTGTTTTTTCGCTTTCTAAAACTTATTTATTATTATTCTTTTTATTTTTTTATAAGGTTATAGGCATAGGTTGTAAAATGGGTTATAATTTATATGTTTATATCTTGTCTACATCTAAAACAATGACACATATCATAGAGCAATACATAAAATTTTTATAGTTCGTATGAATTCGGATCCATACGGAAATTCAAATCCGCCCCACTGACCGAGGTGGGTTCCGTTCCCGGATGATGCGCTATCTTTTTTACTTTTTTATTTGTCGTAATATAAATTTATTTAATAATACCTACCATTATTTTAAAATTGCTAATATATTTAAAACTACTCAAGTGTTCTCCGAAGAGCAAAGAATTCAGATGTTATCTACTATTTTTCGGAATATACAGGATGTAAAATAGGAAATAACTTTATTTAGTATGTTATATATGTGAAATTGTTTTAGTTTTGTTGGTATATAAATAAAACAATTTAACTTGATCTTTCAGTCAGAACTAACAGGAAAAGATTATAAGGTATTTAGAAGAAGAAGGTGTTATTGTATCATTATTACCGCGTTTAAACTTTTATGTTTTTGTCTACACCTATTAAACAATATCGTTTATGTTTACTTCAGGCTCTAAAATATTTCTAATTGGAATTTTTGCTTTTGCTTTCCTTTACCTTCACCTTGGCCGTAAAAAGCTTATTTGTTGTTTTAATTGAGAAATAGATAAAGACAAGTAACAGATAAAAAGAACACTTATCAATCCGATCGTACCGTTTCTACACGTTGCTTATATAAGCTTTAAAATCGTTTGAGCTTATATTCAGTAAACAGACGTGATACTTTATAAAGTTTTTAATTCGCCGCAATTCAAACTTCAGTAAGATGCGTGATAAATAGTTAACGTAACATTAGGTCAATGACTATTTTAAGTTATTATTTAATATTTATCGGCCTATTTCTTAATATTAAATAAACGTTTCGTTTGAACTGGCAACAGTAAGCGGATATTTGGCAGAGAAAACAACATGTTCTGTTTGTGCTGTAAGGGCAAGAAGAAAACCAGTTTGAGTTTCGAAAACAATAATCAAATGGAGCTTAAAGGTAAGGTGCCGAAGGTATACCTTTGTTTTTATTGAATACTCTACAGAGTGTTTTCAGTTAAGGATGAATCTTCACAAAATATAACAGAAAAATTTACTGTAATTGAAAGCAATTTAAGTGATCGCTACAGTAATAGAAAAGGTTCGCGGGAAAGGACATTATCCAATGCATCATCTTCGACCAGCGTTAGGTCGTTTCATAGTGCTAAATCAAGGTATTCCGAAAATTCGGATTTCTACAGTGTTTGCAGTGCTGATTCATACAAAAGTGCGTAGTAGTAATTACGCACAGCAAGGAGAGCACTTCTCACATCTTAAAGTGAAGCACTGTACACTTAGTTAATTCTCTTTTTCTTTATTTATTGTGTTGTAAATCCTTAAGTATCCAGCATGTAATTTTTATATGAAATTTTCACTTATTAATTAAAAAGTAACAATGTTTACAATAAATATAAGTACATTTGTTTAACAAAAACATGTTGCTTTAAATGTGTTTTTAATGTTAATCAATTTTATTTTTAAAAAGGTCAATGAATTCAAATATGTATCTTTGTTTTTTTTACCAATGAAAGATCTCTTTTTTTTTTAATATGCGATTTATATATAAACATATTGTCTGTCTCATTTATTTCTCCCCAACCATTCCTAATTATTAACTTATTAGTTCCTAATTAGCGGCTAAAGACGGCTTTCTGCTCTATATTCCAACTTTCCATTGTCGAAGAGAATTAAAAGCTAGTGCAAATGAAATACGCAAAAGTTGTTCTTTTTAAAGTGGAGAGAGATTTGCCGCTAATACTAACCGCAAACGTAACGTTAATAAGATGATTATCTGTATTTAATAGTTTATAAGTTAGTTATTCAAATATTTCTGATTTTTATTGCAAAAAATTTTCTGTATTAATTAACAAATTATACTCATAAATAACAAAATGTGTTTTGTGTTATTTTAGACACCACTGGGTTGGTCGGTGGGTACGTTATACACATGTTATACACAATTCGATCTCTTTCTATGGTCTGTGTTTTATAATTTTTCTCTTATCTATGATTTATCGTTCATCATAGATAATCGTTCATTTAATCTATGATCGTTCATTATCTATGATAAAGCTTAATTCTATACTTAATTCATAAAGTCCTGATAAAACTGGGATATTAGAAAAAACAGTTTAATGACAAATTTACAAAAACAATAATTTGTTGTGGAAGAAATGGAGTTGGAAGACGATATGGTGGAAGAAGGCGAGGTAGGCAGTACTTTTACATTTTAATTGAAACTAAAATGTATGTTACAGCTAACAGATGATTCTGACGACTGCTATAAACCTTTGCAAAGGCCTGTAGATTATTCGAAGAACCTAGTAAATCCACGATTACCGATTGAATTAGAACAGGATTCCGACGAAGAATCAGTATCATCTATTTCATCAGATAGTGATACTGGACAAAGAAAAAGTAAAAGACCAAAACTTAAGCCTCTTAGAAGAAGAGAAGAAAATAAACACAAAAAAAAGTATGATATTTGGAGCAGTAGAGCGCAAGAAGATTTATTATCTGAAACATTAACATCATGTGATGTTAGTAATGTAGATCGATCAAGAACTGTAGAAACATATGATTATACTCTTGGAGAGAAATTGTATGGTAGATCAGATTCAGAAAGAGTTAGTAACAAACGAACTCATAATGATAGAAAAAATCCAAACCTTAAGTTATATAAAGACAAAAAGAATTGTAACAAAGATGACAAGAAAATCAAAGGTACTTCAAGAACAATTTTTGATTTAAAATGCACAAGTGAAAACACAGCAGAAGAAATTGCTAAGGAATTGGCTAATAAGTTGTATGAAGAAAAAGAAGACTTATTAGGTAACATTGATAATTTATAATAAAGAATAATACTGATGTTATTGATTAATTTTAGTAAAAATTGTAGAAGTAATTGGCAAAGAAAAAGTATTTAAAATTTTTAAAGAAACCAAGAGAATTGAAGAAGATGGGGGAATGTTAATAATGGCAAGTAATCATTTAAAACATTTATATGTTTGTTTTATTTTTATTGTTCTTTTATTGACATAAATAACTTTTTAGAACCAAACTCGAAGGAGAACTCCAGGTGGTGTATTTCTTTTCCTTGTAAAGCATGATTCTGATTTAGAAGAAGAACAACTTGCCAAAATATTCGAAGATGAAAAACAAAAATTTAAGCATGCCCAGAAAATGAGGAAAAAGGTTCATAGAGACAAACTAAAGGCAAAGATAGGTAAGTGCATTATATATGCATTATTAAAATAGTTGTATAAGTAATAGTAATAATTATTATTAATACTTACATTTAATTTATTATTTTAGCAAAAGCAAAACAGGATTCTACTAGTTTACCTGAACTTTTATCAAGAGGAGAATTGTGTGTAGAAAAAAATATAAACAGAACTCGAAGAGAAAGTGATGAAACTTTTGTAAAAAATCCACCTCCTTCTCCAGTAACTGATATACATGAAAATAATGAGGAGATATCCTCAATAAATAATATGCAAAATGTTACTGCTGAAATTAACAGAAGACTCACCAATTATGAGGATGAATTTCTTGATTTGGGTTGTGAAAATAACATGGATCTTTTTTGAAAAGTAATGTTTGTTTTTGCGTTTTTATAACATGTTACATTTTATTATCAATAGTATGATAGTATTAGAGGCAAAGTTTTGATTAAGTTTATTTTGTTATTTTTTTTTTAACAGCAATATCAATGCAATGCAGAACAGTATTTAATGTGTGTATTTATTCACAATAATGCCACAAACTTAGCCCAGTTTTTAAATCCAAGAGACCATGACTACAAAATCACTAATATGTTATGCTGAATAAAATTTTTGTTTAATTTTTGCATTAATGGTAAGTCACTCTTAACTAATAATTGCACTCAATATTGGTAGAAATTTTTGAGTAAAACTGAAACATGAATCGAATATCAAACTAAAGTAATATCTTTTTTTATTAAAATTTGAGTTTGGGTTTTGATTAATAACTTACGACACCCTGTATGTTGCTAATCTATTTTTGTCATGACATTAGTGACATAACCTTAAATGTTTTGTTTATAGTGATGACAAATATTCAATATATAAAAGATAAAAAGTGTAATATGGATGAAATCTATTATTAGTCATGCTTAAAAATGTTTCTTTGGTTATAGAAACAGTTTAATAAATCGTAAAAAATGGATTATCGTTCACCATTAGAAAATGTATTTAGTTTTATCAGTGCATTACCACAAGGCCACGATAAGCCCATAAAACATGCATTTTATAATGCTATTGCTCTGTTTTTGCTAGTTCTTTGTGTAGGGGTTGGATATGCTTTATTGTTAATTTTAGAACCATTTTTGAAACCTTTAATGTGGGCTCTCTTAGTAGGATCAGTGCTGCACCCTTTCAAAAGGTCACTTGCAAAACAGCTGCAGTTATGGTTCAGCTCTCTAGAAGAAGCAGGGACCCCGTTTATTGTAGGATTGGCTTTAATGCCAGTTCAACTGATAAATTACACAGGGGACTTGATTGGAAATAAGCTGATGGAAAATTTGAAGATTATTGTAGCTGTTTCTGTTACCATTCCTATATTGCATTTCGCTTACAATTACACTCCAAAACTTCTTATAAGTGTAATGTTCAAAATAGTTGATCTGATACTTTATTTGGTTCAGTTTTTCCTTAATAACACCTCATCTATGTGGGTAATTAAAATTAATTAAATAAATATGTAAGCAAGAATAGATGACATTATTCATCTTTTTAGATTTCTGTATCATTACTTGGATACATTTCAATAATATATGTCTTGTGGAGGCCTGTTAATAACAAAGTATTTCATTGGGCATCTTTAGGAATATGGTTCTTAATTTCATGTTTCATTGCACACATGTTTGGTTCATTGTTTCAAAAATTTGTATTTATAGTACTGCAAGTAATATTTGCAATTGGATTCATCTACGAAGTAAATGACATACAAGCTGAAGCTACAGCTGCAGGTATGTTGTTTGTAATGATTTCAAATATTTTATTACTTACCTTCTTTATATTTATTGACTTTTTTATTTTAGGACATCCAATTACTTTTATTGAAGCTCTGGTATTGACTTTTAGAGGTTCACCTTCAACCCAAGCTGAAAAAGAATACTCAAAAGAGAGTACAGAAGGTGAAGAAGGTGACATTAAAGACCAAAATTTAGTAGGTTTATGTTTTTTTTTTTTGCAGAGTTAATTTACCTATATTGATTTTAGGAAGAAAAGATTGAAGATTTAACTGAATTTCAAGCCCAAGATGCTAAACTAGAGCTAAAGCATCCACCTAAGCAAAAAAGTACACAGTCTCTCATAGATGAGAAAACAAATTCCAAAACAAAGAAACGTTTTATTTTTACAAGATCACTGTCTCAGCCACAAATAAAAGCTAGAGCCTATGGTTTTCAACCATTTTCACAATTTAAAAGCATAAATAAAATAGGCAACAAACTTATCAATCCAGAACAAAACTCAAGTGATTTTTACATGTACCTGCTTCTTTGGGCTTGTGGCATTATGTTACTGTGGAAAAACCTTTTACTCTTACCTGTACTTTTGTTACCCATTGCCTTTTATTTAGTTAAAAACTTGGTCAACTATTTTGGAGTCTGTAGTTGGATAAAAGGGCAATGGGATCATATTACAGATCTTATTGAAAATTGGTGTTATGAACGTTACGATGCTTTAGTATCTTTATCAGTTAGAGGCCTTCTAAAATTACTCTACAAGGTGAACAGTGGAGTAAAAAATAATTTAAAAGAGAGCATCGACACCATAGCAAGTTCTGTTGTTATATTAATTCTTCTCATTTTTCTTACCTGTGCTTCAGTTTTTATTATAATTCAGGTAATAAATATTTGCAAATAATTATACCAGAAACATTTAACAAATGAAATTTAATTTAAATGTTATAATTAATAAGGGTGTAGTTTTGTAGTAGTTAATTATTATTTCAGGTATATGCTGAGGCTATTATGCTTGTAAAGATGACTAGTAATGTTATAAATCAAACCGTTGTTCATAATCCCGAATTGCAGCAACTTTTGCCTCCTTCATTTGATGAAACAGTTGACTCAATTCTTGATAATGCTTATCAGTATGGTCGCGAAGGATTATCAAAAGCTGTAAGTAACATTTTGAATTGAATTTTACATTTCTGAAACTGTGGCATTATAGGTAAAAGGAATGATGGCAGATGTTGATTCGGCAAAATCTGCAAAATTAGAGAACCAAGTTTTGGAACTCTGGGATCGAATTTATCAAAGATGGATGACTTCTGATGTTAAAAATGGTCCTGTTGTTTCTGATGAAGCAGTTATGACCACATGGGAAGCGTTTTATAACGACATTAAAAAGTCTCCTGGTATTTTTGATGCTTTAATGTTTATAATCATTTTATAACTGTATCATAATATTTTTGCAGAAATTTTCAATGTTAATGGACTGACTGAATTTGTGAAACAAAACATTGGAACTGTAAAATCTTTACTCGAATCATTATGGTCTATTGTGATAAGCAATGTGAGCTTAATATTAGGCTCATTTAGTACCTTCATGTCTATTGTACTGGGAGGAGGAACGGCGGTATTAAATTTCATACTAAACGTGGTAAATATCTGCGTTAGAGAAGTACTAAAAATTGCGTTTAATACCCTTCCTTTTAGATTGTCTTCTTGACCACATTGTTTTATTTGTTAAGTTTAAGTGGAGAGTTATACAAACCTATAGAAATTTTGACTAATATTTCTTCAAGCAGCAGTCGTTTTGGGTTGGCCTTAGAAGGTGCTATAAGTGGAGTTTTTAAGGCCTCTTTTAAAATGGCAGCTTTCTATGGTCTGTGGACGTGGCTAATCCATAATTTATTTAAAGTAAAAATCGTCTATTTGCCATCAGGTAAATTTTTTTAGAAATCCTTTTTCATTTTACGTTTTGCAAGTATGTATATGTAGAAATGAAGTCTGTTGAATAAATGACACAAATTAATTTTTACAGCAATAGCGACAATTTTGGGAGCGGTTCCATTTTTAGGTACATATTGGGCTTGCATCCCAGCTGTTTTGGATCTGTGGCTGGCCCAAGCTAAACCTTTTAGTGCTATTATGTTTGCAATATTTCAATTTTTACCGATAACTGTTGTTGATACCGCTATTTACAACGAAATTCAAGGGTAGGTAATGTTCTTTAAAATGTTACCGTTAAGTTTTAAAATATTAATTTTGTTAGGGGTAAAATTCAGACACTTGCAACATGTCTACCTCACTCATATTTTTATAACAAACTCTAAAATTTTGAAAATTGGATACCTTAGTTACTTGCTTTTCAAAAAAAAGTGAAAATTAAGACGCACCAATGTTCAAAAAAAAATTCAACAAATTTTTCTTTCTTTGTATAAAAGTGAAGTCATAAAAATATTTTTTCAAGCTTTACATACCTTATTTTTGGCATGCAATGGAAATATTTTGTTTTTTATGTGACTTATTGAAAAACGAAAAATTTGATTAGAAATATGGTATAGGAAATTGGGTGGGGGGAAGGTATATGAGACTTTCAAAATGCTTTTACAGTTTCACTCTTATTGGATCATAATCAAGAAGAATGAAAAATAAAATTAGTAAAGTAAATTTTTTACCTATTTATTCTGAAAAATTAATCAACTTTGAGATCTAAAACAATTAGAATTTTAGTATTTTGGGAACAAAAGTAATTTATAATAAATTGTATTAGGAGTACCAAAACACTTTGGAAATAATTTGACAAACTTATTAAACCGTTTTGACGAATTCGTTTGGGCTATTTAAGTGGTTTCGTTAAGAAGTTTAAATAAAATTAGTGAGATTAATCTCAAAATGTTTTTGTACTTCTAATACTGTTTGCTAGAAAATGTAGTTATATTATGTGTATGTATTATATCATATTGGATTTTTTTTTTTGAAAAAGCTGTTTCTTTTTAGTGGCGGACATCCTTACTTAACTGGTTTAGCAATAGCAGGAGGAATATTCTGTTTGGGCGTAGAAGGAGCAATAATTGGTCCCATTCTACTTTGTGGACTGTATGTTGTAGTCGATTTGTCATCAACTTTTTTTAAAGAGTCTCCCTCTAATGAATCGCTAAATATTCAACCATTGACAAGGTAAATGTTTAAATATTGACTGATAATTTTTAACAAATTCGAATTGACAAAAAGCCAAGTGATTTTGCGCTTTTAGTTGTTATTTATGCTTATTTAAGTGTAATTTGTTAGCTTCATAGTATAATGTAACGTGTTGCCAAAGGTTAACTTTTTATAGTATATTATTGTTCACAATTTTAATGATGTATAAAGTCGTGTTTTTAACTTAATTATATTTTATTTAAAGTTTTATACTCACTACCGTTTTCAGTAAAATAATATTAACAGAATTGTCTTTTTATTAGTTTTATATCTCATTCTTTTGAATTTTCATATTTTGGAAGAGCTGTTGTATTTTAATCCAATTAAGTCAATTTATTCAAGTGCTACAAAAATTATTTTAAAATGGTACAAATTATTTCAAAGTTTTTTAATGTGAAAAAGAGTGAATTGTTGTAGTTTTGGCTTTCTGAACGTATCTATTCAATTTAATATTCTATTGGCTAAATGGAACTTGTAACTTGTTGGCAGTTTTTATTTGTTGTAATTTTAAACGTCTCTTTCTAACCTCAGAAACGTAAGGCGTAAAGGGAGATTGTTAAAGCTTATTATTTATTTATAAATCACATAAAATAATGTTAAAATGGTTTCATATGAAGATAAATGGGTTAGAATATTTTTAGTGCAAGATACATCCCAACATAAAAAGGGATTTACGTTGTATAAAGTTGTTTCGATGGTATGCTCTTTCTTGATGTTTTTCTTAATTAAAACGTTTCATGTTTTGTTTTTTTAGTTGTACCCCAGAGATTGCCCAGATGCAGTAACTAAAGTTGTAGTGTGGAAGAGATTTAATGATTTTAAAAAACTCCATCGTGACGTAAAAGTAAAGTGCAAAAGTTTGAAATTTAAGAGTTTGCATTGCATAGCTATACCAAAAACGTCATACTTCAGAAGGTAAATATTTATATACTTATACAACATTGAAAAAGTTGATTTATTATTTTTAAGATTCCAAGAAAATGTAATAGAGGAGAGAAGAAATTTTATTTTAAATTTCTTAAACTTTATTGCCCAACATGGAGAGTTGTATACATCAGATGCTGTTGTTAATTTTTTTAAGGTAAGCTTCGAGAAATTTTAAAAAGAATATAAGTTTAGCTTAAGTATTCTTTAGTCAAGTTATACTCCATCAGAACTTCTTAGTAGTAATATAAGTAGTATTCGATCAGATTTAAATTTACCAGCAGAAACTGAATACTATACTGCCAATTCAGACAATGAAAGTGAAGCTGATTCGATTTCAACCATAAATAGTTTAAACAGTTGTTCAGTTCAGGTAAATTTCTCATTGACTGAAATAAAATATATTTCAGTCAATCTATAATTATTTGTAGATTGACTCATTACCTGATCCAGTGAATGATGATGTGAAGAATGTTTCTTCAGAAAATAATTCAAGTTTAACAAATGGTACTGATATTTATTTGGGTGATAAGCAAGATATTTGTTCATCAAGTGCAAATAGTTGTGGAAGTGTTTCAAGCATGGGCAATTACATATTGGAAGCTGCACAGTGTATAAGTAATGCTATCCAATTTGAGACCGAAAAGAAATATGAAGATGCATTTCAAGAGTATAAGACTGGAGTGGACATATTAATAAAAAACAGTAAAGGTGATCATCAATATTTATTTATTTATTTAAATCAAACAGGCTAAAAATCCATAATACAAAACAATTTCACACAATTAGCATTGTAAGGGTAATAAAAATTGCATACATTTATTCGATAATAAAATACTATGTAAGAGTTTTAAAACATTCTAATAAATCCAGTGAAATTGTTTTGTCAAAAACTATATTAATTTCGGTTTTATGGATATATTCTGAAACTATAAAATAAGAATATGATATTTTTTCTGTATTTCAGATGAGAAAAATGTAGAAACAAAAGAAAAAATCAGACAAAAAGTAGAAAAGTATTTGCTGAGACAGGAAAAGATTTATAATTTGTATTTGTCTGCCGAAATAAGAGATATAAAACAATATGTAATTAATCGAAATAACTAATTTAAATTTTTAATGATGTTTAATTATAGGTTTTAAACTATGCTGAAGATAACAAAAATGTGTCATGTATTCCTATTTCTGATTTATACAAATATAAAGTGATTAAAGTAGTTGGTTCTGGGATGGTGGTGCTTCACATTGATAATCAGCTTCTCTTTTATGCTAAGGTAAAACAAAAGAAAAATGTGATTCTGATTCTTTTAATTATAATAAAATTGAGTATTAAAATAGAACATATTAAAGTTAGGGAACTGAGTATTATTTTCTTTTTTTACATTTTTTGTAGGTAATCTATAAAACTTCGTCTTTTAATGAAGAAAATTTGATTTTACCGAATAATGTGCCTTACTTTGTGCAACTAAAGAATTATTTTAACTGTGAAAATGCCGTTTTCCTCATCTTACAATATTTAAGGTAAGAAAGTTATAAAAATGGCTTCAGCTTTATTAAAAAAAACATTCCATTAGCTGAAGTGATTTTTTAAAAAGTAACAGCTAAAAGATCCATAGTCAGGAAATTTAAAATTTTTATGTTTTAGTAGTAGTATATTTGTTGATTGTTGCTTAAATTGGATTTCTGTTCAGAAATTTATTCTCGTTGATTTCAATTTTTGTTGTTTTAATATACATATTTCATATTCCAGTACTCCATCACTTCAAGATTATATTAAGCAAACCGTTGAAGCTAACAAATTAAATTCTTCAGAATCGTTAGTTTTTGAAAACTTAAAAACCAAAGACTCGGCTGGGGAGGAATCCGACTGCAGCTATAGCGACTTAATAAATGATTACAAAAACACAAAAATGGCCCAGAAAGTAGAGGCATTAAACAGCAATGTTGCTGAAGAACAATCACAGAACCAAAATTCAGTTTTGAAAAAATCGAACCATGTTCTTTCCGATGAAGAGGCGAAAGTACCGCTTCTTGATACATCAGATTCCGAATGTTTTAATAAAAATAATACTAACGGCAGTATACTTGTTAAGTCACAAGAACTGCTCTCTGTCCTTGATGATACTCTTAGAGGGGAAAAAGAGATTGTAGAATTTGTGCACGAAGAGAAAGACAGTCCTTCCACTGAAGAATACGAGTTTATAAATAGCACCCAACTAGATGTAACATTTAGCGTCGAGTACGTTTTTGACGAAACGCCGAGTGATTTGCCACCTGTAACATCTGTAGTGAAGTGGTCAGCTCAGTTGCTTCTAGCTTTAGAAAAATTACATAATATGGATGTAATTTATGGGTAATATACTTTTATTCTGATAGTATTTTTAAAATATATATTTCTAATTAAATTTTATAATCAAGTTAAAATTACTATTTACGCTTTTCATTTAATTTTAGAAATCTTCAAATGAAACATCTTCTTTTGGATGAAAACGAAAACTTAGTTCTAGCTTATAAATGTTCCATTTCAAACGAACAAGAATTGCATATTGATAAGAATAATGTTATTGCACCAGAGTTGTATAATTTTCAAAAACTAACTCCTTCAGTTGACTGGTGGAATTACGGAATTATTTTGTATGAGCTGCTTGTTGGCATGGTGAATTTCTCTCAATATATATTGTTTTATAAGGAATTTCGAACTTTATTCTTGGCTTTATTTTACTTAAGATATATTTGTTTTATTTTCAGGAATTCAAGTTAGTTCATCCCGAAGAATTTACCTTTTACACCGTTCTCAGAATTCCCAAATACGTTCCATTAGAAGGAAGGTCTCTTTTAAAACAGGTAAGTTTATTCAGCTTTCTTAAAGATATCGAACTAAGTTAATTTCTTCGTGATAAATAGAAAATATTTTTTTTATTCTTTATAGCTAATTGTTTTTGATCCAAGAGAACGTTTAGGTAGCGGGGTAACCGGCACAGACGATATTAAGTCACACCCCTTCTTTAACAATATTTCATGGACTTTATTAAGCAATGATGGACATAATAATCAAACACAATAGATTTGACTTCTGACTTTTTAATATAAAAAGGTTCCCCCTATAGGCCTTTGGCGGTTTATTTAGAGGGGTAGTTAATCGATCTGTTTTCGTAAATGAAAATTACATTTCAATATAAACTTTGAAAATGAAGAGAAAATTCTGCAACTTATTTGTAACTTAATATGTACATTCAAAATTTAATGTGGTTGTTTACGTTTTCTGTAATTTTTAAGTAAAAAAAAGATAATTTATTGCTTTAGAACAGTATCACATATGACAAACAATCTATTATTTTGACTGTTGAAAACTACAGCTTTACACTTACTTGTTATAAGCATTTAGAAAAAGTGCACTTACTGTTTCAAAAATAGTACATTACTTTTATAAGGGAGACTACCAAGATCCCTACATGAAGTGATTTGTAGGTGTATATGTACCGCCTTGTGGTGAATTGAATTACACTTTAAACTGATTATTATGCACTTAATTTTGAGTTTTATATGGATGGGATTATGGTCTACAGTTCAATGGGAACTTATATATTGACTTTCTTAATCGAATCACGTTGAAAATAGGTTGAGATATTACAACCACTTATGGTTTTAGAAAGATCATAATGTGAGCTTGTAGGGGACATAAAGCAATCTGCGGATAAATACTTAGTTGTTGTGATGATAATGGGATGTAAAAAGACTTGCGTTTACCATTTACACATGCGACCATTTTACAGTAAAAATGTAGTATTTGCAAGGATGCGGGGCAGTCAGATCGTGATTGCTGCTTTTTACATTTTATCAGACTGATCTGCTAAAGGTCCTTTTATTGTTTAATTTATTCTAATGCAAGACCATTTCCTTCAGAAATCTTATATTCTTACTTGATATTTCAACTAAAGAACAAACCAAATAATATGAAATTTCGCCTGCCATTATTTTACATATGATCTGATAAATAATAATAGTCTGTCACCAGTGTTCATAGTATAAGCAGCTGTTCCATTAATCTTATCGTAGTACTTTAAGAAATTCATAAATGCTATTGTATGCTGTTGAGAATTCCTTTTTTTTTGAAATGCTTAAAAGTTTGCGTTGACAAAAGTCCAATATGAAATTATGATCTAGTCAATGTTATTTATTTATCAATATACATATTTACAATTTTTTTAATAATTTATTGATTTATGCATTTTGAAGGTAAAATTTTCTAAATTTTATTAGTTCTATAAACCGAAAGTACGTTTATGATGAGTAGCAACTTACATATTTATCATACATAAAACTTCAGTATTATTTATATAATGTCGATGTTAAGTTTCTTGTTTGGTTTATATATACTTACAAAAAATGTTAATTTGTAACATACCGTTAATCTTAATTAAAGTTAATAAATCAGGCAAGTTAGCTTAAAATATTTTATTCTCGTAACATATACCCACATTAAGGCTTTTTTTACATAGTAAAAAGTGTTATGCTTTACGCAAATAATTTATAAATAGTTACATTTTAAATGCACAGATATAAAGCATGTTCTAAAATATTGGTCGCTATATGCGTTTTTAATATTGTCTGATTTATAAGAGCAAACATCAGTGTTTGAGCGCATGTACATAAAAAATACAATTTGAATTGGAAATGTTAATAAGTATGGAAATACTGTTTGTGTTTTGTACTATAAAATACATATAATCAGATATTGAAATGCTACATTTGACTGTATTGTAATTTTGTGGGTTTTTATGCTTGATAAAAGAGATTTACTACTACATAATTGAAAACCGTACAGGTTAGGCGCAAAAAAAGGAAAGAATCATTAACGAAATTTCCTATAATTAGTGCATAAAAGACAAAACTCAACGATGGCAGTTTCAAGAGTGAGGTAGAATTTTTCTTAGCGAAAAAATATTTCAGTAATAGTATACTTAATACCAGTCACAGGTACATGTGGCATACCTATATAAAATTAAATATTAAAAAGAGAAATAACATTAGTAGTAAGTACACCAAAGGACGGTTAAGTCAATAGGGATGTATTTATGGTTCATGAATATGTTTAGCAATTTTAAGTTCCACGAAGAAGCAATATTTTATCGTTATTTTCTAATATTAAATGATGTTTTATGACTGAAATAGATTACTAAATTGTTTAAGCAAATAAAAAGCAGATAACAATATCATACCTAATCAAAATTGCTTAACAAAAGTCACCATACTTTTTTAAACTCGTGACTCAAGTGTATCTTCCTCTGATTCTAACGAAACACTGCTGCTGTGAATTTGATACAATTTTGTACCTTGTTCCATTTGTGAAGGGCATTTCTTTTGAAAAATTTGAACTCCTTCCGGTGAAGTTAAGGGTTTCAATTCCGGAGAATTCCTATCGACTTTCTACACAAAAAAATAATAATTCAATTATTAAAGTCAGTTTCTGTAAACATATTTTATTATTTTGAGAGATGGGCTATTTATTAGTAGTTAAAAGGATGTCTGTAGAAAGACTTTTTCACCTGTTGATCGTGTTTGTCACCCCCTTCTATTAAAGAAATTTTTAAAACTGTAAAGTCGACAACAAATAAAATTCTTATAATAAGCATGATCATCTGGGCAATCCAGCAAAGGCAGGAAACGTAGGCAGAGTAAATGCATATTTGTATATAAAGAAAAATTGATTGCTCCTTTTGGCTAAACGACAATGAATATATGTCTATTTGAGATGAACATCTAAAATGTAGGATCAATTAGATTAAAATTAAATTAACGAAGTTTAAAATTTACTCCTCATATAACAGCGATGCAGCAAGCTGGTAGCAAAAACTATAAAGGCCATTTTTTACTTTAAAAAGGGCTATTAACATTATAATAATAAACAGTAATGAGAATATTAACGTTGGGAATACAATTTTCCATGCTTGTTGCAGTCTGAAAAAGATTATGCATAAGTATTTTCATATAATATTATAAAATGAATGTGAATTGTTTACTAGAAAAAAATTAAATGGTAACCAGAGGTTCCCAATGCTTCGTGACGCGATGATTTCACTCAAAACATTCTTTTAATATGAAATGAAACTACAATTCGAACTCGAACGCGCAAAAGTTTCACGAAAGTGCTTGTATTCTAATGGCGCGAGTCTCACACTGTTTTTTATTAATTATTAAAAAAATAATAGATTTTCTCATTTGCTGTCTGTTTTGAGTATTTTGAGATGATATCTTGCAACTTTAATAATGTTTAGCATTTGTTTAAAAAATATCTTTGTTTTAATTAAAGAGTGATACCACTGAGGTCGAGCGATATATCCTTTGAATGTTACCATGGATTCTAAAAAAGTTTTTAAACTTACATTCCAACTTTATGTCCTCCACCTCCTTTAGGGCATAGCATAAATAATGTAATCCAAAAAGCGCAATAAATAAATGATAATACAAATGCAGTGGTGCAAAAATTACACCAAGTTTCACGGATGGGCCACTCAATTTCAGCATTTTTTACGGGCAATTCTACATCGTAAGACTTCTTTCTTCCTATAGAAGTGATATTTGTAGTAGAATTATCAATAATTAATTTCACATCAATAGGGCAATTTCCATCAAATAAATTAATTAGACCAGAAAATGTATACGCAGAACTAAAACTACTTACTCCGCCAATTATAAAAAGTAGTACGTGAATTTCTAAAAAGAAAATAATATTGTACTTCAACTTCATTATGTATTTTTTTTATTTGTTCTTTTATTTTTAATTATCTCCCATTTTTTATTATATTGTTTATTGTGGTACTATAATTATTTCCGTTATTACACTTTTTAGGGGATTCCACCAGTGTTATTCTTTACTCGTAATATTTTTAATTGCACTAACTAACTTTCCTTAAGGTTGAAAAATATTTTCATGATTAAGTGCTGTTAAATTTACATTTTTATTATTTTTTCTTTTATCTTAACTGAATTCCACACTGAATAATTCAACAAGTTACCCCAAATAAATGATCAGATACTGTTTATGCATGATAATGTAATAAATTATAATAGTAATGGAAGTTACATGGCGGGAAATTGTAATTCAAATATTTTTTTACTCTTACCTTGCCATATTTTAGAAACTCGTTCTGGTTTTTTCTCTATAAGTCGATAGTAAGTATCGAGAATAGCCATTTGGTTTCGGAGAAATATACTTTCATTACCACAACTTATTTCCTGAATGTGTTATGAGATCATCTAAAATAAACATCACGACTTTCCTGTCATCTCTATTTTAAAACTATTTACTTTTTGAAAGGGCAGTTTAATCCAATCAGTTTACACCATTGAAATGCATGCCCGCCTTTTAATTTCAAAGATTCCGAAATACATTTTAAATAATTTTTTATTACGGTAATTGTTTTTTATATTACTTATTGACTTTTCTAACACCGCCTTATTATCGAATTTAGATTGTATGTATTTGTGTTTCCTTTCTATTTCCTTACGCATCTGCGCCCACTTCGTCTGTTTGCTAGTAGAAGCCTTGGTAGAAGCATAGAAGTCGGATATTAAATGTTTATACCGAAATAGAAAAAACATACCGGTTTATAGTTTGCACCTTTTGTTAGTTAATTCAGAATAAAATTATAATATTTATATGTTACATTTAAAAACTTTTGATTCTATTTATTTTCCAAATATAATAAATTGTAAATATTTTAAAATTTTAT